TATAAAGTTTTATAATATTTTAATATTTTTGTTTGTAATTTGTAGTTAAGGATGTGGGTTGTTCTAGTTTTAGGAAAATGCGAAGATTAGCTCAGGATAGGAATGAGTGGAGGTGCATGCACCTTATGATGATGATTTTTGTAATTTGAGTACTTTTGCATATTTGCTGTGTTGCTAATACATTTTTTTTTATTTCATAAATAATTGAATTATGGATATATGTGTATCAAGCAAAAACAACTAGATATTTTTTGATCAATTTACGTGGTTATATTCCTTAGATGCATGATCTTTATTTCCAATAAAAGATTCCTATTTAATACAGTTATTAATGTTTTTATACAACGACAACGATCACCTTAACAACCTCAATTTTTCAACTAATCATAGGAAGGCGGGAGGCAACTCGGTGCGCATGTGCGGGAGAGAGGACGTTTTTACTTCTGCCTCATCGTAAAATAAGCTACAGCCGCTCAACACATGTCATTATTAGCGACATCATATCCAATGTTGTTTTGGTAAAATCAGCCGATTACTAAATAAAAAATAACTAAGAAAATACTGTTTACATAATAAATTCTCTTATAATTGATTTTGAGTTTCTCCTTTCTTTATGTAAACATATGATGAGTATTTGTTATCTTTTTTTTGTAAATACTCTAGTGTCAATACGTAATTCATGTTAGTTATTAATAATCACTGATCATAATAAGCATATTCGTAAATAATTTTAGTTGGAAAACGATACAGGAGCAGACATATATTAAATTGTTATAAACATTTCTTGATCTGGTATATAAATAATGGAAAAAAATTAGTTAAACGCATTCCATAAATTAGAATTTAAATAAAAAATGTATTATATGTGATACTTATCAAATACTTTTTAAAATTCCTAGAGGTATCTGTCCAAACTAAAAACAGAAAATTCTATCTAACGCAACGATGAAGTAGTACTTAATATTTTGTATAATATACGTATATTTAGACTCTTATTTACATTAAAACTTTAACAATTGGTTCAAGACACGTTAAAATTATGAATTCGTTTCGTCCTTGACAAATAACTGTACCAATAGAATAAATTGATAGTTAGGAATAGCAATGGAAAAACGACCCTGGACGCCCTGTCTATTTTTGAAACGGAATTAAATCGTGGTGCACGTTTCTTTTTCCTTCTCGATTTCCGCGACTGAGCGGTATTGGTATGTTGCCCTGCTGGGTTACTATTTACACCGGGATTTGATGGAAATAACGGCTTGTTATTCGTCTTTTCGTCCTGAGGGCAGCTGATGCAGGGTAAGTGATTCCAGGACGACCGTGACGATTTCCTTGAGGAAGGGGTTGTCAAGGGTATGGTACAAGCCGACAATGTGATCACTTCGACTGTGTTGGATTGCTCGCCGTTGGCGTTTTCCAAGAATCGAGGTTTTCGACTACCACCGGTTTTGCTATTTTTTCTACATTCCGAAAAGGAACCCCGATCCTGTAAAAAAGTTTTCACTAAATTCACGAAAAATATCAAGTTACATGTTTTACATATATGGAAATTGCTACAGAAATTGTTTTAAATAAGTAGTTAGATAAATGAAGTCTTTTATGATTCTATAATATACCTACCTACTCTTATAAGTCAATTTTATTCTCATTTTCTTTTTGGATAAACAATTAAGGCTTTACTGTCATAAAAGCACATTAGTTTTAGCTTTATCATAAAACTAAAGCTGATGTGTTTTTATGACTAGGACAAAACTTATAATAATCACTCTTTGATATCAAATACGTACATTTACCGATGCAGATTCTGATTGGCGTCTTCGGATGTCAAGTGGAGACCATTCACTTTCGTCTTCGCTACTTGTTTCCGAACTTAAATCAGAATTAAAGTAGCACTCTCCAGAGCCGTACTTAGTGAAATAATGTACTACTGCAAACTTAAAATTAAACTAAATTATTATTGATTCTTTCCTCTCTGTATATTGATTCAATTTGCATTGAATTTTATTTTATAAAAAGTTTTGTTGGAAAATAAAAACAAAGAGTGAATTTTCCGTAAAATTGTGAAAATACCTGTATAATGGTCGCGAAGATAAATGTAAACGAAAGAAAAACAAAGAAGTCCAACGCAGTCGGATAAGGAACTTTTGGTAAATCAGTACGGGCCTCCAGTCCTAAGAAGGTCATTGTTAACACAGTAGTTATTCCTGAAATATGCACAAAAAAATATAATTTGGACTAGAAAAATTATTGTTTTTTATGTTTTACTTATATTTCATATTGGATAGTTCAAAAACAATTTTTTTTAATGTCGTCTTGCGATTAGTTATGTCTTGTTTGAGATAAATGAGACGTATATATACTTTTTAATTAACTTTGCTAATCACTGAATTACAACGATTTCTATTTGCATCTGTGATTTATATACTGTTGGGTGTAGGTACATTTTCAAAGTGGACGTAAATTTACTCTGATTTTAAAAGGACTACAAACCACTCGTTAATGTAAACTAAGGCCGGGGAAATTGACAAATTAAATGCAACCATATATAACATGCTAAATAGGAAACCACAGATGTGATTTATTTGAAATACTTGCATTTAAAATGCAAATACAAAATAAAAAATACCTACTACATCTTGCATTTTAATACTTTTTTGAAAAATGCATTCAGTATTTTATTTAAAATAGTCTTCCAAACTCATTTTCTAGTTGTAAAATGTACAATACATGTTTGCTGTTAAATGTTTTGCTAGTATCACCGATCAAACATTCTATAAAATGATGAATGAAAACAAAGGGGTATTCCATGAATGCCTTCTAATTCTTTAACTGAAGACAGCCCAAAAAATTCTAAACCCTTTGGAAATGAATAATCTAAAAGATTGGATCAATATTTTTTGAAATTTCAAATTAATATCAGCACCTGCCAAGTCACCACTCATCGTACCTTTAGCAAAGAACTACGAAATTGTATGAATTATGACAAAACAGCCAGCAAAACAATATCGAATTGATATATGCCAGTTGTGTAAAACTGAAAACTACAAGATATTGTGGTGTGTTAATAAATGCGTTTAATCTAAAATTCTTAGAAAAGAATTCCAAAAACTTCATTTATTAGATTAACCCAAAGCTATAGAAACTATGGATTTCATTTCTTTCTCTTATTACAATGTGTAAAAGATTGGAAACAAAATGGGGTTGTAAATATTTTGATATAAAATTATTGATCTTGATTTTACATCAATAAAGTTATTTACAATCCTATTTTGGCTCCGATCTTTTACGCTAAACAAACTATATTGGCATCAGTGTCTTTTTTCCAATTAAAACGGGTGATAAAGGCAAATAGGGAAGCATATAGAAGAATTATATGTTACTGAATTGAAGAAACTATAACATAAAGATAGAAAAACTATATCTCAATCACTTTAAACTAAAAAATATGAATTGTATTCAATTTTCGCAGCTGATAATATACTGCAAACACCAATATTAGACTAGAAAAACTCCAATATTTAAAAAATGAGCAAATTCCTGCAAGGTTTTCTTATTTTGAAAATACGTATTTTGTATTTTGCATTTAAAATACAAAAGGGAAATCTATTTCGTATTTCACATTTGAAATAAAAAATCAAAAAAGTATTTGTATTTTGTATTCAAATTCTTTTAAAAAATCGTTTTGCACATCTATACAGGAAACGTAAAAGTCATAATACGTATCAACAAAGTCGTTCGAACATAATTACAGAACGGATTAATATTTAAATATTAACGCAGATAAACCAATTGAATTTTCATGTATTATGTGCACATAGAAAATAATATAAGTCTCTACTTGAGGTAAGTGGAAAAAAATGTGGAAGAACAAGGTTTTGTCGAAATGTGAAGAGGACAAAACGGTGTATTTGAATTTATTAATAAGAATGTTTATTTACTTCATTTAAATCTATAGCGTGCTGATGACGTTTATTAAGATCGTCATTACGATATTTAAATTTCTGCCCAAGAACAAAATAAACGTTTAACACGTAAGCAAGCTTCAACGAAAAACCTTAATTGTAGCAAATTTCCACTAGATGGCGATATAATGCCTATACTTGAATCTATTGTGTTTGTTTCTAGTGAGTAATGTGTGAATTGAACAAAATTGAAAGGAGCGTTGTTGAGGTTTATTCGGTTTGGAAGGAGGATATGATACTGTTCACGAAACTTAAACTATGCCTGTCTCGAATTAGTGGGTATTAACCCCTCCATTAATTATTTTATGGACACTGGTACGACACTTTGATAGAGTTTAAGTAGAATTAAAGCACTAAAAAGTTTTCATAAACTGAAACTACAGTGCCAATTGTTTTGCCAAACTTTAAAGTTCAATTTGCATTTTGGAATATTAATGCATTAGTATTAACTTTTAACTTTGTATTATAGTTCCACACAATGTTCAAAGTTATTGTGTATTTTACCATAGCCAATAAAGTTGTTGATTTACTTCATTTTCCGAATCGTCTTCTGGATACGACAAATTGAGGTGATAAAGTTTTTCAAGTCGAAAGTTTCATTGGAATTTTGACGAATTTTATTTTTCGTTTTTGGCAAAAGTCGACTGATGGAAATTTAGTTTACCATATCTATTGAAAATTCAATCGCAAACCTCATACATATTCCTTAAAAGCATCTATTTAAACATGAATATGTAGGAACGCTCCTGTGAGCTTAAAATGCACGATTTCAGAATGTTCAAGCACTTACCATTGAATATTGCATTTTTTTTGATATCCGTCAACAGTGTAATTGAACTCGATAACAATGGGTAGGAACGTTTTAAGGGTTCTATTTCATATTTCATGACTACTTCATTTATTCGAGAAAAGAAGAGAGCGAATGCTTAATGTGATTTAATACTTTTCATAGTGACGCTTTGTATAATCTAGAAATAAATATGGGGCAAATACACTAGTTAAAAACTAGTTGAAATCGTTTACATTTACACGAATGGGTACCGCTGTCTAAGTACATATTCTAAATGTCACATTTTTAATGTTATAATAGATCTGTCGAAGTGACCGAATATAAAGAGTGAGTCATAACTATTGGCTCTTGGAGTAAATCCAAATTATTTGGACCAATACATGAAGATTTGACCAAGTATGTCTTAATAAAATGTTGTTGAGCAAAAAGATACAGGTTGTCAAAAGTGACATATTATTTTCGTTTTTTGGTAATAATTCCACAAGATTTTCATAAATTGTTTTCAAAATTAGCACAGGATGTAATTTTATAGTTAGAGACATATTAGAAGGAGAAACAGAGGTTTGGAGAAGTAGAGGTAGACATAGATTAGATTAACGTTCACAAATATTTAAGGATGTGGGATGTTCTAGTTTTAGGGAAATGCGAAGATTAGCTCAGGATAGGAGAGAGTGGAGATGAATACGACCTACTGATGATAATGGAGTTCCAGCAAAAATTAAAGATTTGAACATATTGAAATTCATTTTTTTTTTATAAAGGGAACGGTCAAAAACAATAATCTTTTGTTATCATTACCTTCTATATCTGATGCAGCGTTTGAACACCTAAAAGGAGTGTATCTACAAATCCAGATATGGCTAGGAAATCTAGATATTGAAAATTGCGACTGGAAGTATTTCAATAATATGCTTATCCCAATGAAAATCAGTCAATTATCATTTTATATTTTATTACAGCGAGCGCCAAGTAAACGATCCTTGAGGATGAAATTGGGTCATACATTTGTTGACGAAACATTTTGGTAATATTGATTATAATACGTGATGTAAACATCATTCTTATGTAAAATTGTTATACCTACTTTAGAGTGGTTCAATTCTTTTTTTAATTTTCGATTTTCATTTGACTTGATACCACTCATGTACAGTGCTCATATACCAAAAATCACCATAATCGGTTAATATTTAGAGGTTGCGCAATGCCAATAAAATTTTCTCATACAACTAGTACTTCATCAGTGTAGGGTAAATTTTTAATGTTAATTTTTTTACAGTGGAGGGTAGTAAGTGTTACTAGTGTGTTATAGTGAATCAGTTAAGCATATTTAGATTTTAAAATGAGTAAAAAAAGAGAAATTTGGTTATTTAAGTTACCTTATGAAGACATTTGGTGAGCTAGGCATCCTTCTAAACAACAAGTGTTGTTGGTTTTAATTCATCACCACAAAGAAATAAAAAAAAACGCTTTCTGAAGCTGCTAAATCGACAAGTACAAAATTGCAAGTCATATGGAAGAGACCTAATATTATTGTTAAGACAGAGGAAAATATTCGAGCCGGTATATAAAATTTATATAAGGAAACCCAATCTTTGGGAAAAGACAAATGGAGAAACTCGGAAACTGCTAGTAGAAAAAGGCAAGAATGGAAAAGCGATCTTGACAAATTATTTGATATTGCGAGCCAAAATGTAATGACATTGAATAGTGCATTACAACAAGATAAATAATTTCTGATAATGCAGGGAGATAATGATATGAGTTCGTCAATGAGTGGGTTAGACAAAAAGTATTCATCAAAAATTGGAGAACAAATTAAAAAACAAGAAAAATCGGATGCTTTTAAGGAGAAACAGTATAAAGAGATAGAAGAAAGTAACACAATGGAAGTGACGGGGATGACGAATTCACTGCATCCAGTATCAGTGCTACACCAGCTAAGTCCCACGCAGTAAATTAACACCTCTTGATCGAACACCCACAGCAACATGGGATCGGGGAATCCAATCGACAAGCTAGTCATTCTTTTATTGCAACCGCTAAAAGCCTGGATCATGATGTCTTAGATATTTATATATCGCCGTCCACCGTTTACCGAGCAAACAGAACTCAAATGGCTAAAGAAATTGAAAAATCTTTATTTGAGAACCCTCCAGAATTAGTGCTACACTGAGACAGTAAGTTGTTGCCATCGGTTACTTCCATCAATAACTTGGAGTATAGAGTAACCGTTTTTGTAACTGGCAAAATTTCGAGTATTTACTTGGCGTTCCAGTTGCTGTCAAAGACACGACAGGGGAAATGGCTAAAGTTGTTCTTAAAGAGGTGGACAAATTGGTATTTACTCTGACACTACAGCGTCTAATACAGGGAGCATGTGCTAGGATTGAGAATAATTTTAAACGCATATTGTTGTGGTTAACCTGCCATCATCACACCCATAAATTAATCTTGACAGGAGTATTTGATGAGTGCTATCCTGTACCTTCTAGTGCTCCAGACATTAAAATATTTCGAGAGTTTCAAAAAATGTGGGATTCGCTTGATAAGATAATGTACACAACTATGTTAGATGCAGAAGATTTCATGCAAGGTTTTTTAAAAGGTCAACGTATGAAAATGATCCTTTATCTTCAAAACATCTTAGAGAATGGAAGTTATCTAAAATAAGACTACAACTTTTACTGTTATACCTTGGAGATTGGTCTCTAAATAATTTCCCATTCAAGGTTCCAGGGGCTCTCCATCAAGCAAGTTGGATGGCAAAATCCATATATGCACTAAAAATTGTTTTATTCACCCACCAATTATTGAATTTTCCTGGTATTGCAAAACAGGAACTGAATGATATGAAAGGAATAGAACATTTCGTTTGTTTAGTGTATGTCCGATTTTGACACGAATCAGTTGTAAGCTGTGGGCTCCAAAGAACGATTTGGATATGATACGGTTTTTAGATTCTTATCCTAATATTAATGTAAAGAGAAAGTGCTCTCGCAGTAACCAAGAAACGCCTTTGGTATTTATTTGAAATTAACATAGGATTAGCATTTTTAGACGAACGTATCACTCAAGCAGAGAAAAATAAAATGTTTTTAAATTTAGAAAAACCAGCAAAGAAAAAGGAGAAATTTGACGAAAAATCCATTAGTGACTTTGTTACTAATAAAACAAAAACTTTCTTCGAGATATTCGGTATTTACAAAAAAAGCGAATATTGTAGCATTACAGTCAGAGACTTGGCCGACGTTCTCAAGGTAGTCAATGAAATTGCAGAAAGGGGCAAAGCTTTAACAAAAAATCCAACGATTCTGTCAAAGATGAAGAATAGAAACAATTCTTACTAAAATTTGTCGAGCATCACAGAAGAGGCGTCACCAAGGGAACAAAAGAAGAATCTTATATCGTTAATTAATTAATAAATACATTCAATGTAAAATTTATGTTACATAATGAATATTTATATTGTATTCTAAGCAAATTTGTGAGATTAGCTCAGGATAGGAGAGAGTGGAGATGAATGTCCAACCAGTCTTAGGATTGACGACCTTGTGATGATGATGATGNCATGTCGTATTACAGCTGAAAAGCGCTCGGCAGAGCAGCCAAGGCCAATATGGCGGCGCCCATGGCTCGCATGAGGCAACCGTGTAGCATTTATATTCTCACTCATTCGTGCAAGTGCATGACAATTACATTTATAGATTGTAAAACGCAAAGCGAAGATGAAATTATTGATAGAATAACTTAAGTTCAAAATGATTCAATGATTTAAATAAATATTGTTCTCAGTTTTTAACATGCGTCTATCATCTGAATGATTCTATTTATTATGTATTCCGTATTCTCATACGCAGATTGAAATTAAAATTCATAGTTGGATATCTTGTCTACTATTGATTTCCCATTATAATTCCCATTCTTCAATCATTAAGGTAAGATAAGAACGCGATTTTAATTTTAATATCCTAAATCGAATAATTTTCCGAAAATTTACAATTAAATTCCTACAATTCGAAAAGTTTCACTTGCATTGTGATTTCATAAAACCACACAATTGTTTTTTTCTTAGTGTAACGTCCTTTAAAAACGGAAAATCGGGCATCATTAGCCAGCGCCACCAGAAATGTGCCCCGTTAAAAAAAAATGAACTTAGCTCAATAGGTGCGTTCTAAAACTGAGCGATATGTTTTTCTTATGAATGTGTCCAAATCGTGATACACGGAGAAAATGAAAAAGGAAAATTTACTTAAATATTAAAGCGATATTTACAATTTATCCCACTATCCCGTTGCTTCGTAAGCGAAAATAAGAAAATTACAATTTGGACGCGAATTTGTAAAAACAAAATCCCAGCAGAAATAAATTTACTAGGTATTTTAGCTGATATTGTAAATTTAATTGTAATGATTAAGAAACTTGAAATAATTTTTAAAAGAATATGAAAAAATTGAGTTATTACAAGTTACCTAATAAAATCTACTATTTCTGCGGCAAATTGAGTCATTGACAAACGAAAATTGTAATTTTTGCGTTGTTACAAAAATTTAATTTTCTCCGTGTATTATCAAAAAACGAAAACAATATGTCATTTTTATCACCCTTTCCACAACAACATTTTATTAACGCATGTTTAATGCAATCTTCATATTTTGCTTGAAATAACGAAATAACCTAACAGTAGTTGCTGTATGTCCTAATTTAATCTCGCCCACTCTAATTTCAGTTGTTTAATTTGAACTCGATCACTCCAAAATTATCAACTTTTAGACCTTCGTTAATTTCTGGTTAAATGATATGAATCCTGATTTAAGGCACCCTATCACCAGCTAACCCAGTTGCACCGATTACGTTTGCAAGGAAAAAACGCCCATTAAACCGTCCCTAATATCTTATTTAATGTTTTAAATTATGGTTATTCACCATGTAGATACTAGGGTTCACTAAGAAACGTATTCTATAAAATGAAATGAATTAGAACTTACCTAAAGAAACCCTGTCTGCCGTGGCTTCTCGGTTTAACCAGAAAGAAACCCATGACAAAACTACCAGTAAAACACAAGGACCATAAACTTGAATGAGAAAATTTCCCATGTGACGCCGAAGATGAAAACTTATTAAGAGCATTGAGTAATCTGGAAGAAATTTCGATTAGAAAAATAACGCTATATGAATGAAAACGTCTCCTCTGAAGATGCAAGTGCAAGGAATATTATATTTTAGTCTTTTTGTTTTTTAAGATGAGATTTTTCATTGGTATCTACCCAAAATTATCGTATAAATTTTATTTTTATGTTACGTTTTAAAAGCAAAGCCGAAAAAATGACTGCATTACGATAGATGGGTTCAGTGGAGCGATATTTTCTCACAAACATTTTCTTAGTCAATTATATGTTTACAATAGCAATATTTTTTTCAAATTCTCGCAGACTAAACGAATGTGACGCTACTTTCATAAATAAAAATAAAAACGAATAGGACTATATGTAAAAAAGAAATTTTTATAGAAAAGTAAGGAAATCATTGAATTTAGTGTTATCAATAATGGAAAAATGGGGCACTTGTGGCCTGCCGTTTTGGACGTAGTCCAACAATGTTAAAGTAGGTTGCATTGGCATAAATTTTATTTTATTGTCAGTCTAATAACGATTCAACCAACTTACACAGTAATAAAAAGGTACACATTTTCAAATATATCTTGTTGTCTGAACCAACTGAAGGTTTCAACTTTGAATTTTGCTTTTTTTTCTAATTTTTATGAGATTAAAATTATATTCTCAGGAACATTTACTTTTCATTAATAAGGATTGATATAAGTATAAGAGCATAATATTAGTATGCTTAGTTTTGCAGATGATAGAGGTAGCTTTAAATAAAATGGAAGCGATAAGCAAGCAAAAAGTAGGGAAAGAGCGAATATAAAGATAGGAGACGAAACATTAGAAAAAGTGGCTGTTTTTCAGTATTTAGGAAGTCAGATAAGTCAGGACGGAAGGAGTAATAGGGATATAAAGCAGACGATAGCGCAGGGTCGAGTTGCCTTCAATAAAAAGAAGTCAACGGTTAATTTAGAAATTAGAAAAAGATTGTTAAAGGTGTATGTTTGGATCGCGATGTTGTAAGGGTGCGAAACATGGACGGTGGGCGCGGCGGAAAAGAAAAGGTTAGAAGCGTTCGAAATGTGCTGTTACAAGCGAATGATGAGAATACCGTAAATAAAGAGAAGGCTAGAAATGAAGAGGTATTAGAAAAAACCGAGGACTCTATGGATGTCAATAAAAAATAGGCAAGATAGGTTAGTAAGACACCTTCTTAGGCACGAAGGGCTAGTCAGAGACTTATTAGAGGCAGAAACAGAATTAAAAGTAGTAAAGGTAGGCATAGATTAGATTAATTTTCGCAAATAGTTAAGTATGTGAGATGTTCTAGTTTTAGGGAATTGCGAAGATTAGTACAGGAAAAGAGTGAAGGTGCGTGTCCACTCAGTCAATGATCAATAAGTCAAAGATTTCTGCAGTGTTTGTAATTGAAATAAATACTTTTCCCGCATGACTCAAAGAAAATACTTATTGAAAAAATTATTTTTATTGAAATCAATTTTGCATTTATATGTTGATAATTAGGTGTGTCCGATAATCAAATAAAAAATACATAGGAGACTGTCGTTAAATAAGTTAAATAAGGCATATCCTTGATTACTATGTCACTTTGATAATGTCAACAAAGGTAGTGGGTAAAAAACATGTCCGCTAGTTGAATGTGTTTATTTGTAGTAAATAGGGGTGGATCTCTTATTATTTAAGTTTCCCGTGAAAATATGATTTTCCCTAAATGTTTTAAAACTTTTTAAGAACTCTGATGTTGAACGGTTATCATTGACAAGGATCTTTAAACCCGCAATAACATCTTGTTCGTGATAGGTACATAAACTTTTCATATTCAATATTTTCCGTTTCTATGCTAGTATTAGCTGCATAAATTGCTACAGACATATACGTATGTAACATTTGCGATAAAATTCTGGATTAGATCTGGATATTACCGTTGTATACATGTAGTCATTTTAAAATAAAATTTCTCTTAAAAAATTATTGCGCCGCTAGTATTCTTATTAAATTTATTAAAACAAACTCTTCGATAATTCCACTACTGAAAAGAAAGCTCAATATACAGGGTGAATTTTCTGATTTGATACCCCGTTTACCTTGATAAAAGGAAATATTTTGGAAATTCAAAATAATAGTTTGTGTATTTTCTTTTTGATGCAGTTAAATGTGCTACTACAATTTCTATAAGCCTGCTGTAAGTGGGAGATGTTCGAAATACCCTGTATATTTTCAAAAATTTGAAAATTCCTTTTTTTCTGATTTCGTAATTACATAAACCACTATTTTAAATTTCTCCTTACTAGGTTTCCACCAAGAATAAATTTATAGAAGTATTAAATAAATGTCTTAAGACACTATCTTAAATAGTAAATAGGACTTAACAAAACAGCGGTTAAGAACGAGTTATTTCCAAAATCAAGTTGTTCGTTATAGTAAACATTTTTTTGTCTGTAATGGCTTTTTCGATTTCTAATATTTTGTAGTTGCCGAACGGTGATAATATTTTAAGTTGTTTTGTTGTTAAAAAAGTAATTATTTGTTACACAGTGTGCAAATAGACTAGTGGTATAATTAACAGTAACCTCTAAGTGACAACTATATGAAATATTGTCATTACGAACTAAAAATTTTAACTAACGGTCAACTTGATTTTCGAAATAGTCTCCTCCTAAACCATGTTTCGGTAAATCCCAATTAATATTTAAAATACTATCTTAAGATCTTTATTTAGTACTTATAATAGTTCACTTGTGGTAACGCCCTAATAGTAAGGCAAAATTTACATAGAATTTTATTAATGTTGTGAAATTATTCAAGAATTTTTGTTCTAATAATAAATGTGCTTATTATACTTTGTAGTACTTCAACTAAATAAGATCAAAGATATCCTCAATTCATTTGTAAACTAAGAATATTAAAAGACAATCGACTTTTGATTTTCTAATTTCATTTGGATTTGTGGGAAAATGCTGGCTTTATTGAGAATAAAGTTTAGGCAATACCACGAAAAAGTTGTTTGACCAATTCGGAAAACTTTTATGATCGAAGTTATTCCAGATGCTATCGACAAGAATTTCCATTCTCAACTCAATTTCCCAAATACGATCATAAGGATGATAATTACTTCATTATCAACTAATTGCATAACTTTAATTTCTACGTCATTTTGAGATTTTCGAATGCAAGTCATTATAAAATAAATTAACCTACCTGATTATAAATCGAACTTTTCTTATTGATCTAGAAAGTAATTTCGTGTTTGATTTTCTCACTTCCGCAATTTTAAAGGAAGAATAAATGCTTTAGGAAAAAAGTGTAGGAATACTTCAAATTAAACTGTAAAAAGTTCTAAAAGTCTGGAAGATGAACAGCTTTAATGACGACGTAGGATTATAAGCATTATACACTTAGATAGCTTTGGCTCTAACATACGTAATGTACTTTCAGTTTTTATAATAATACATAAAACCACCTTTTTTTAACATTGTCGTGTCGCCTTTAATAAAATAAGTCACTTCTATGCTCGCGAACGGTTAATTTAGAAATTCGAAAAAGATTGTTAAAGGTATATATGTTTGGAGCACGGCGTTGTACGGGTGCGAAACATGGAAAGTAGGCGCAGGGGAAAAAAAGATTAGAGTCGTTCGAAATTGGTATTAAAGGCGAATGATGAGGATAACGTGGATATAATTGGTTAGAAATGAAGAGGTATTACAAAGAATAGGAAAACAGAGGAGGTCTAGTCAGAGACATATTAGAGACAGAAACAGGAGTTAGGAGGGGTAGAGGTAGACCTAGATTAGATTACTGTTCGCAAATAGTTAAGGATGTAGGTTGTTCTACTTTTAGGGAAAAGCGAAGATTAGCTCAGGTTAGGAAAGAGTGGAGGTGCGTGTCCAACCAGTCTTAGGACTGACGACCTTATGATGATCATGATGTCAGGATATACAGAACTGCAATTAATTATCTATCAAATAAACCAAGAACTTACCAGCCTTTTTGTTATCAGTAAGAAAAGTGCTATTGTCATAACTTGCTGGGGTTGCAATTAAATCGAACTGCGACAGTTTCATGTCTTCAGCTATTGCAACTTGCCTATTTTGATTCCATTGGTATACCACGTCTTGTGACGTATAAGCAACTAAAAGTAAATAATAAACAATTTACATTTTCTTAGATCATATGTTGTTCTACTATATTAATGTAATTATCAATTTTCGTTGAAAATACTAATTTCTGTTTCAGTCGTGTATGTCAAATAACAACTTTGTTTCAAGAAGAACTGTAAGTATAAATTGTACATGGACAAATAATACATTAGAAAACACTTCTAAGAGACGTATACATTTAAATAAGTTGCATACAATTCGTTGTAATAGTTCTTCTGAATTCCTAACTTTTTGCAGGAGTCCACACAGAAATAATCAATTTTACATAATTTGGGATAAAAACATAAAAATGAACTTCAGTTTTCTAGATTTTGAGTTTGACCTGCGTCTATTTGCCTGTTTATGACATTTCGTCTTCAGTTTGATGCAAATAAATTATTTATCTGAAATAGGAGAACCCAGAATTCGTTGTGTTCTAAATAATACCTGTAAAATTTTAGACTGAAAATGTTTTAAAAAACGAGTTTTGCAATTCAAATTAAACTGCATTGAATCAATATAATATGTCAGGTCTTCTCGTGCTAGCAGTTAATTATCAATATATATATTATATATAATATATTGTATATATCTAATTTTATTTTGATTATTATGTGGCTGAAAATAAGTAGGTTTCAGTATCTTATATTATTGTTAGTTTTACTTTAAGTAAC